TGTCTTCACTTCAAAAGCATCAAAGTTATGCATGGCATATATTATACAAATTTACTGATAACTAATTAGTATGATTTTAGTATAATTGTTTTTATATGATATCTTCGTTGATTGGACTGAATTGATCGGTCTTTATTGACATATGGGCTCCTGTGCGGATGCTGCGATATTGCCAGCGTCCTATTCATGTTAATGATGGTTCGTGGATAGCAGTGGAGCATCAGCATTGAAGCTCATATGCCAATAAAGACAGATCAATTCGGTCAAATCAACGACGGTATCCTATTCAAACAATTATACTAAAAACTATACCCATCGCACAAGAAGTGGCTATTGTGACTCAGTGGTGTAGTGAATAATGCAATGGCGTTTGAAGCAATCGCTCCCGAGTCCGACTCCCTGTGAGAACAACATCACTCAGTGGGAAGTAGGTACATCCAGCTGACTGGTGAGTCGTAAATAGCGCGAAATGCCCATCCTGAATTCCACTGCTAGCCATGATCCATCACTAACATAATTAGTGTATGATTGTTCTTCCTGGTGGTGTATCTGACTTTCACTTTTTACCAAATCATTGTATTTCAGTAATATTACACCCTTGGTTTCCATTTTCTATTATTTAACCAGTAATTATAGACGATATTGTGTTTAAAACATACATTAGGCGTTGAGTAAAGATTCCTTGTTCAAATGTACATTTAAATTTCACTCTTATGAATTTGTCAACGTATATTCAGTAAATTCTATTACTATCTAGTACTTTCTGACCAGTTACTTTTACTTAATGAGTAGTTATAAAGAAGAAATTTTCTACTTTGTATATTAACAATCATTATGATTTTTAGGTTTTTCAACACTAACTTCACTCAAGTCAGTGCTTCTATATGCTTGAGAGACTTGATACGTTACGAAAAAACATTTCCAACAAACTATAGATATTGATCAACAACTGCCGCCTATACTGGCTCGTTACTGAAGATCAGATGGCCAGAATAATTAATAAGAATAAGCAACAAGGAACTCACTCCGAACAACCTATCACTCAACAAATATGCACTGGAAGGAAGTCGATATGGATTGGGCATACATTGAGAAGGTCGACTGGGGACATCACGCGGCAGGCACTCTACTGGAAGTCAGATAGGAAACGACGAGTTGGTGGTCCCAGTTGAGTGTAACATGAAGGAGACTGTATGAGGAAGAAACAAGAGCTTCTGGGCTGTCGTGGAGCCAGGTTCAAAAGTTTGCAGGCAAGAGAGAGAATGGAGATGTGCTACTGAAGCCCTATGTTCCACTAGTAACCCAAGGGAAAAATATTAATAATTATAATAATAATAATATTTTTTAGGCAAAGAAACGTTTGCTGACTTTTATTTTACTTTCAGCAACAATTTAAGGTTGTACTTGGATATCCATTTCGAAACAAGATGCTTCCCATAACTTTTTACTTGGCTTGTAAAGATATCTCTTATTACCTATAAACTTCCTTCAAACAATTAGCAAATAGTGAAGATATTATACAGTTCACCAGTGTTGTAACGTTAGTCGAAATGTGTGTGTATATATATGCAGTGATTTTACTTCATTTATATCGAGTAAAATATTCACAACGAAGCTGACTGCCATTGAAGTTTCAAGGTCACCTTAACCACAAAATGAAATAAAAATCTTTTGTCTAACTGTCCAATCCCCGTAATGTTAACTTCTGTTTTGGCGACTTGATATCAAATAGGAAGATACATACTTCTCAATAATCAGAATATTCAGCTCTTCAACATATTTCTTGTGATATCATTTCTGAAATCAAAATCCATGAATGAAGCCTTTCATGACTGTCAGTTGAGTGAGTGCTGTGCTTCTAGCTCAACTGATTAACACTGTAGTTGACAGACATTTAAATTCAAGCAAACAACTTGCTACAATCATTTTATCTGATGGTGAGTAACACTACTTTATTGACAGATCTCTCTTTGCATCTCCTCAGCGAGGATCAAAAGGAATTATTTCAGATTGTACACTACTATTGCTAAATATATTCCACTAACCTCGTCCAGTTAGCTAGTACACTAGTAACTAGCCGGTTCCAAGCTCGGATAAAAGATGGAAGGTTGGGTATAGGGTTAGCAACCCTACCCCGTTAAACCAATCCAATCGCTAAAGAAAGTTCAAAGCACAGAGAAAAATGCTCTGGATTTGAAATTACGACCGGAACACGCTGGATGGCTGGCTTCACGAAGAAATCATGTGGAAATCAAATTGAAACACTACGCTACACATCACCATACAAAATAGCATAGAATGAAAGTCAACTCTCTACCTCAACTTCATCGATTTTGAAAAGGTTTTCGACAGCCTCGACTAAGAAGTAGTTTGGCAGGCAGCTGCTTCAACACTATACTACGCTGTAAGTGCCATAAACCTTTATCAACCTCATTCAACACCTATGTGCTAAACGATGCTACATGACAAGTGATTCACATTGGAAAGCTCAGTGATGCCTTTGAAATGAAGATAGGGGAAAGGAGTAAGACAAGGCTGACTACAATCACCGACGATCTTCCTGATTATGGTCGACTGGATCATGCAGCAGACAACTGTGAGGAGCGAGAAGAGGGGTATACGCTGACTGGACCGACAAAAACATCCTAGAAGATTTGGATTTCGCCGATGATGATTTATGTTTAGTGTCTTGTCGCACAAACTCGAAGATGTAAAGGCGAAATTGAACAAATTGACAGAAGGGGCAGTGCAAAGAAGATGGGACTTCCTTCAGGTGAATGTAGAGAAAAGAGAAATGATGATGATACTCAACCAACAAAAAGCACCAATCACCATGAACGGGAGGAAATCTAAATCAAGTTGTTTCTTTCACCTACCTGACTAAGCAGCATCGTCTCAACTACAAACGGCGGCACAGACGAGTATGGCAAAACCAGGATCGGAAAGACACCATGACAGACCTTCCTTCATCAACCTGAATTTGGTGTGGAAATCTACTGCACTGCACTCAGCATAAAACGTGAACAAGATCCGCATTTTCAACACTAAGTCAGTCAAGTAAGTCAGTGCTTCTATGTGATGGTTGAGAGACTTGGTGCGTCAGGAAAAGCATTTTCAACAAACAACAGACATGCATCAACAGCTGCCGCCTACGTCTACTTCCACTCGATACTGAAGATCAGATGGATTGCCAGAATAATAAGAATAGGCAACAAGGAACTCACTCCGGCTGGCAATGAACCAAACCACCAATAATCTATCGCCCAAATGATATGCAGAAGAAGAAAGTGGAGATGGATTGGATTGAACATACACTGAGAAGACGGTTTAGGGACATCATGCGCCAGACCTGGCCGTCAAGTGGGACCCGAATGAGAAACGACAAGTTGGGCGTCCGATGGTTACATGGGATAGATTGTGTGAGGGAGAAATGAAAGGTTCTTGGCAGTCGTGGAGCAAAGTTGGAGGAGACTGCAGAGAAGTGTTACTGAAGTCCTATGTTCCATTAGGACTTCAAGGGACAAATAATAATGATAGTTCGACTACGCTATACCTTCTACACGTCCTATAAAAGAAAAAAACGTCTTAGAATAGAACTCATTTGTCAACTTTTTACAATAAATAACCATTGCTACTAATAACATTTTCATGATTTTAATCGCTGTAATATTGTAAAGGAGTATATGTTTCTTGCAATATTACATCCTTAGACTACCGAATTGCACCGAAAATTGTTTGCAATAAATGTGTATATCATATCAGCATCTAAACAATATGGACAACAGTTTTCGAATAGATTTTACTACTCACCTGACGATAATAGTATAATTCTATTAAGTAGTGGAATAGTTCTTTTTTCGAAAAAAAATTTTTGATTCAATTCGGAGGTTATAATCATTTAAGCAATACAAATAGAAAGATATTCACATCCAACTATATTTCAGTGGAATACTGACCAGAATCACTGGTGCAAATTAAGTCACTACTTTCCTTCTTGTAAATAACATAGTCTTTCAATTGGGACTTGTACATTCCTTTTTAATTCCCCTATCCTTATTCTTCTCTTCTTCCAATAACTTATCAGAGACTAATATTCGTTTTTTTCCCAATATAGATCCCACTGTTGTGTTCGTTTACAATGTACTAACTAGCACTGATTTCATACTTCTAACTGTTTCATCATTATCAATATCAACATAGAACCAGGCATTACTGTGTAACGGTTCGAGTTGCCACACCTCATGTCAGTACATCAAGTAGAAAGGTAGTGAGGCACAAGATGACGCTAAGAGAATTCAGTCAAAAGAAATATAAAGTATGAGAAGAAAGGAAAGAGGAGTGACAAAATGGTGAGATTCGGTATAGTGTAGTTAAGATGACGATAATATGTACACACATCTGTGCCACTGACATCGGTTCTCAGCCATATCACCTAGAGTCTCCAACAACTGGTCGCTATCGTCCCGCCGACCATAACCACCTAGTCTGCACAGTCCTACATGGCTTAAATCAACAGCCAGAGACTTCATACATTTATGCCATGCTTTAGTCTGGCCACCTCTCGCCTTTTCCAATCTGGACCTACTTCAGCCAGCATTGTATGACAAGGCAATCGGCGACTAGGCATAGGTAGCGCGTGTCCCAACCAGCCATCTCAGTCGATGAAGGTTCAAAACCTCGTCAACTGACTTACCTCTTCTCTCTCAAACTCTATACCTGATTTCTGCATTACTCACGTGGTGACACCACGCAATACGACCTATATACGACTAAGGCAACGGTGGTCAAACACTTGAAGCCTTCTTATGTCTTCCACCTTCAATGGCCATGTTTCACAGTCATACAGTAGAACACAGCAGACTGCTGTGCAGCACATGCGACCCTTAGTAGACAATCGGATATCACGTTTGCGCCACAGGCGGCGTAAGTTGGCAAAAGCCAGCCGAGCCTTTTGTATCCGTGCAGAGATCTCATCGGCCACTGAGCCACCAGGGCTGACCCTACTTCCCAGGTAAGTAAAGTGTGGTCGACACTCAATCACTACACTCTATTGTTAGCCGTGGCCTCGTTGAAGACCGATCCTGGAGCAACAATTTTCATTTCGGTGGTGAGAAACGCATCCAAAACATTCTCTAATTGCTGTAAAGTGTTCAGAAGACTCAGTATATTGTCAGCGTGTTCACCTAACAGGACTATATCATCTGCATATTCTAGGTCTTATGAAAATTCTCCTACGATTAGGTCAGCGTCTGTGTAATCAGGTGACGAGAGGGAGACGTTTTAACTGTTGACTGCCTGCATATCGCTGCTTGGCATTCTCTTAGTAAATACTGTAAGAGAATTAGATTTTTACTTTTACACAGCAATTATCATTAGTTAAAAAGATAAAAACTTTACAGACAGTGGTATATTGCATTGAACCATCCTTATATCCTTGCTTGCATGGTTGCCTATTTGTGTTAGGCTTACAGTTAAGTTTACAGGTAACGTCTTCATAGAATCTCCACCTCGACTGGATAGTGATCACTAACTTGTTTTGCCTGTATAACAGTAAAAAAAATGATAAAATCAAGAGAAAGAAATCAACTAAATGAAATCATTCATGAACTAATTTAGGTATGATGGAATCCCTGATAAGTTCACATGTGTTAGTAAACTAATCAGTCTATTCCCGTCAGTCAACGATATAGATGAATATATGTTCCAGTAACAACTTACACTTGTTGAAGATGAAGCAGAAATTGTAGCGCAAACGTTTGATACATAAAGTTGCAGAGTTTCAAGCTATGAGTACCAGGTATGATTCCTAATAGGAGCCATTCTACACTACAAGTATCATCATCTAACGAGTTGAAAACAAAACGAATCATACATGTCCGAGTCTGCCGCCAGCCACTATTAAATACAATCAGTAATCACTTCAGCTATGCTTCCACTGACTGAGACCAAAACACAATAATACGTTCGTGTGAAGAAATTTCTCGTTCCTTCTTCCTCTCCTTCACTACTTCCGATTGGTTTTGGCCGATTTTCCTTTCTTCCTTCATCCCTCGTCTTATCGCTTGGTTACTTGATGTGTTGCAAACTGGACAGATACACCTATAGTGCCTGGTCCTATAATGAAATTGATGATGATAAGGTGAAGTAGTTCACCTTTTTCAAACGATCACATTTTGACTGCTTAACATTGAAAACCGTCTAAAAATAAGATATAATCTTATTTCCTGGTGAAGAAGTAAAGAAAGCTTGAAAGCAGTCGTGGCACCAGGTTGAAAAGACTGTAGAGAACAGAGTGCAATAAAGGCGTGCTACTGAAACCCTATGTTCCACTTAGAACCCAAAGGAAAAGTAATAATAATAATGATAAGCCAATAAACTACAATTAGTCTTCAGTGATATAGTGATATGTTTTATTTATAAGCAACAATTTGTGATAAAAACGTTATCCAGCAAGTAATACCACTTCACAGGTCAATAAGACACTAATATTGTTGTGACAGAGTGGTGGGGTTGCGAGCGTGGGTATAATCAATACTGAGACTCAATAGACACCTCAAACGAATACCTTCACGACTGACCTCCCTCACTACCTTCTGCTTCACTGAGTCGCGGAAAAACCTGAAAACAATAACCACCTGCGACTGCAAGAAGAACGACAACAACTTTTACTACACAAATACATGACATATATGAAGTTACAAAACTCTCAGAAAGTGAAGCCACAAATGGACCAATCAGATTTCTTGTATGAGGTCGAATTCCTCCAATCAGGCAGGTCCTCATGTCATCGCATGCATAAATCATGACGTGAACATGATCTGATCACGATTTGAAAACACCCTTATTGGCTGCCTTCTTGACGCTACGTAACAAATATTTCTAAGAAAAACGGTCAAGCTTGTCAGCATTAATCACTATGCTAGGTATGCTAGGTATTCATGAAGCATAGTTTATAACAAACTGTGAATAGGAGAGGCTCATGCAGTGTTGATGTTATCAGATAATATAGTCAATGATTAAACTCCATTTATCAAAATGACATCAATACATAATTAGGCTTAAAATGACATACCATTTTATTATCAAGTTGTAGATCACTTGGAAAATGATAAGCTTTTACACTGCCTTGCTTAACTGATTGTTTTAATTTTCTACCATGTATAATTATCCTACAATTGAAATAATAAAAGTTTTATTGAAATTAGCTATTTCATAGAACATTTCCGGAATACAAATAGATAGATAAGTTAACTACTTTAACCGATAGTTTATAATTCGATCATTACAAAACTAATCATATTGTTACCGTGGATTTTATAGGCATTCAGAAAAATGTCTACTTATAAAGGATAAGACGATAGTGAAATTCGGCATGATAATTAAGACTAAGTTGATGTACGTATGCATCCGCAGCATAGAGATCGACTTTGTGCCAAAATATATAGTCTCCGACCACCGATTTCGGTTGAACCCATTTGCGTGCCTATATGCTTTGGATCAACAATCAAAGACTTCACAGACGGATGACACGTTTTAATATCACCAACTCTAATCTTCTTCCAGCCGTTGTTTACGAATAAATGAGACCTAAACAGTATCACCAAATCGGCGCAATGGTTTCAAAAGAGAGACCAAACAAAGCATGGTAAAACTGGAGAAATGAAGTAGTGCAGGCCTTTGAGAAGATAAAAGGTTAGTGTAGGAAATCATTTCAATACCATTTTGACTTATACACCATCCTACACCCAAAGGTGTACATTTCCCCTATGCAAAATAAGATAACCAGTTAGTGAATCAACAGGCAGATATCTTAAATAATTGAGGTGTAGAACAGTACTTGAAACAGCTTACCTATCATACGCACAATCACCTTTGCCTACAGTTGTATCATGATGATCTGGAATAGCCCAAATAAATTCTGTATCTTTGCGTAACTGAATCTGTTTCATTTTCTTCCTTGATAAATAACCACAATCAGCATTCATATCTCCAAGAATGAGAATATTCTAAATGAATAATAGAGTCTACAGAATTTGAGAAACATCAAATCAATTTCATGGAAATTTTACATTCATTACTATCTCTATGCTTATAAACATCCAAATCATAATTATTACGAGTGTCGTAGGAGAAAATCAGCAACAAGTCTGATTTAATCATTATAAGAATATATGTCTAACAGGTTTTGTTGTATAAGCTACAACCTCTTCAGCAGAATATTCGAATATCTAATTAACATAAAAGAAGGCAAATCTACAACTTGATGTGTTAATAAGATGGAATTTGCTGACAACTTTTTATAATAACATAAAATCGAGTGACTGAAGACATTATATCGCTCAGCGTCCTTTAATGTGCTTAATGCACTAAGAAATAACATCCAGACCAACACAATAACCACCAAGTGTTAAGCTCATTCTATAACCATAACATTCTATAATAAAGGATCATCTGAAGCCTATTTATCTCACCAGTAACATTTTATATTTCTGCATCAAGTCATATAGGTTCTCATTCACAAGAAAACTGTGAAGTTATTTAAGATTGTGGATATATCTTGCCAATATAAGTCGGTATACGTGAAAATGGTTTTAGTACATCTGTCTATCATTAAAAACCTCGTTCATTTTCTTCAGTCTGATTAGCACTTTGTTGAGTAACCATGCGAAGTACAAAATTTAAATGCATAAGTAGTATCTGTGCATACAACTCTATACAAGTCTAATAACCATAGATTGTTAGTGTCTATAATGGATTAGCTTCTCAAATATTGTTCAGTAGTGACCAAGTTGTAGTTCAAAAGTCTCCAGTTAATAAATCTCTCGTTCACTTTCTTGGGTATGTAGGGTAAAGAGAGTTGGAAGAAGTAAAGAAAACTTACTGACTATGATTTGACTATCTAAGATAGCAGACTAGTGATTTGTACTGGTTGATGATTGAAGGTGAGATGAAACTCTGAATCGCGGCCGGATTCGAACCAGAGACCACTGGTTTTATAAAGTACAAAAATGAGTCAAATTTTTAAAGTGATCAAGTCATTTTCATTAGATTGAAACGTACCGGTCCCATGCAAGGCTTCGACTAACATTCAGAACAATCAAAAATCAACTCTAAACGAAACTTATGGCAGGTACTTGATGATGATGATGATGATGAAGCAGATTTGAATCACCTTGGGAACATCAATTTCCTCAGTTACAGGTGTACTTTTCTCACTAGCGGCAAACAGTTTGAAACCAAGATCAAGAACCTTCCATCTGATTGACATTTAATGTCAACATACGCTACACCGCAATTTTTTGTCATTTTTATCAGTGTGCACTTATTGCGAAATTTTGTAGATATACTTCGAATAATGATGAGCAAAACGACTGGACTACCTTATCGGTTATATATTCCTTCTTTACCTGTAATGACTGATTCCTATAAGAACAGAAGTACAGGGTGACGATTAAAATAACGATTTTATGAATAATAATGAAGATGAGATTAGTAAATGTTTAGTTCATCCAAGAACTTCTGTAATTTTCATTAGCCACTTAAATAATCAAAAATAGAGAGATGAAAATAAGGCCACTTTTATACTATGTCATGTCTACTATAAAGCAGCCTTATAACTGAAGAAAACTACCACTTGACTCAATAATATAAAGGCGAATTCAGTAGAGAACTACACGATGAGAAATGAATCCTATACAGAACTAAATCACTGACCTGTGTTTGCCAGATTTTCATAATATTCTGAACAGATGTGTAGAGATGATTTACTTCATCGTAAACACTATCTGGATCCAAATGTACAATAATTAAAGCGAATATTGGAATAGCTGAAATTTTTCAATAATAAAAAACAAGATTAGTATTATTATAAATGTACCAGAAGTATTTCCAAGCACTTGAACACCCATCGGAGGTCTTTCAAACCAATTCTTGTCGTTGGGAAAAGTGATAGTTTTACCAATTTTAATTAAATGGGGTCTAAAAGAAGTGAAAAAAAAAATTTGACTTTTTTACTGAGTAAGATTTTGTTACGAAAATATTAATAAATATTACTTATTATTATTATTTATTTGTCCCTTGGGTTCCTAATGGAACATAGCGCCTCAGTAACACGTCTCCATTCCACTCTCTTCTCTGCAAACATTTCAGCTTAACTCCACGACTCCCCAGAACCTCTCACTTCTTCCTCACACCATCTCCTCCATGTCACCCTCACCAGGGACACCCAACTCGTCGTTCCCCATCTCGGTTCCACTCGACGGCCTGGCCTGGTATGTGATGTCACCAGTCATACCTTCTTACACTCAGTGTATGCCCAATCCATATCAACTTCCTTCGAGTGTATATTTGTTGAGCGATAGTTTCTTGCTACGTTGGTTCGTCACCAGTCAGCCGGAGTGAGTTCCTTGTTGTTTATTCTTATTATTCTGGCAATCCATCTGATCTTTAGTGACGAGCGAGCATAGGCATCTCCACACTGGATAAATATTACTAGAGGAATACAAATAAGACTTTGAAACAAGTTGAACTTAGTCATCTAAATGAATTAAAAACTTTTAGAGACAAGGTTGATTGGAAAAGAGATGACAGGATTTTCAGAAACGTATATGTGACCAAATTTCAATCACCGCCAAAAACTTAGGAATTTAAACTCATAACCGATAAGTTCTAGGGGTTCATCATACAGCTTCAGAGTATTGAAGAGAAACGTATGTCAGTAACACTATTTATGATACTAATCTAATAATAATAATAATAATAATGGAATGATCCTGAAAGATATTTCAGGACTAATGTACAGAATTTGCAGCATACCATATAGTATCAATCTGACAGAAATAATCTATATGCATACGTTATATTATCAGTAAAAACTACATATAAAAGATAAGAATATTTACTTCATCTACAACTTTTGCGAAAATGTACAATTAACTTAGATAGACAGTCACATTGGGATTTAGATTCACAATACTTAAATAACAGTAATCCGTACAATTTACAATTTGTTCACTTTCAGTAATAAACATTAACTAGTCAGTTCATTTTTAGTCCACTCTTACCCTCACTATATGCGAGCTAAATACGGTAGGTAATATAACGTCATCATATTTAGTAACACATGAATAAAGTCTTATATACTTGCTCCTGTTTTAGTATGAGCACCGACAAGTAGACAGCTTTGACAGAAAAGAATACAGGTCATTTGATAAAATAACTCCTGACGTAAGTTTACATAAGTTAAGATGCTTGTCTACACTACTTTCAATCACAAAGTTTAGAAGTACACCACTACTTCTCCTAACAATCTCCCAAGTTCCATTCAATACAGCATAGACTTTTTCAGCAATACAGGAAAGAGTAAAGGGGAACTGTAGAGGAGAATAGGCAAGACACACAAGAGAAGAGGTTGAGCTATACCAGATATTCTCAGCTTCCTAATATAGAAAGTTAGGTGGAAGATTCTTTTGGAAATAAGTAAGGTATGGGGGGGTGGACCAGAAAAGGTTCAGGAAAAAACACACCTAGATAAACCACACCTGTAACACACTCATCAACAGAACACGAATCATGAGACTTAGGCAGTTTACATAGGTTATGTTCACGTTCTTAGGCTAGAATTTATAGTCTGACATTTCTAAGGATAAAGCTCAAATGGATTCATGAAGGACCATCGTGTAACTGTAGATAGGAAATCGTCCAGTAGGGAACAATCTGATGAAGAGGAGATATTAATGAACTGATGTTTACTTTCGTCAGGCAAGCAGTTAATCGTGAAGATACTTAGAAATGGTATTCAAAGGATTTTTCAAAAAGTTAAACTAAAATGTTTGGTAAAACTATGAAACCATTTTTTCTTAAACTAGTTGAAATTTTCGAAGATATAGTTCCTATTTGATGATACATAGAAATAATGTTTGATGTTCTATGAGATAAGGTGAAAATTACAGGAGGACAAAGACTAAGGTTAGAGCCTACCACTATCATTGAACGTATGAACAAGGATAGAACCATAATTTCGAAAAATCTGAATGTAATAACAAGTGGATTGTTAAGTATATAATTAGCATCCTTACACCGACAAAATCCATGATGGTTATAATTCAACAGTGTAAAATGAAAGAGTTTCTCCTTCCACTGAATAGACGATAGGCATTAAGTAGTCAGGTTGAAATATACAGTAACACTTCATCTGTAGAATTATTGGATGAAAACTATAACTATTGTTCCAGGCGCATATAAATTATCTACAAGGAACTTGGGGTGTTTGCGAAACAGTTCGAGTGGCAATAACTCATATCATTACACAAAGGTATAATGCAACAAGACTAAACAAGAGATAAACAAATAGTAAGGATACACTGAATACTTTAGACAGTCATGAATAGAACAAAAATGCTTATTAAAGCAATTAACAAAATGTGATAATACCCGTTAAGATGAAGATAGAAAGTGAGTGTAGCTACGCTACTGGAATCATTTTTGAGCTATACCACATACAGTTTCCAGTAACAGGCTTCACTTGTCTTGTAAATTCGAAGAAGAAAGCCTAAATCCTCTTGGAAAGTACAAACTAACGGCCAGAGACTTACTCATCATCATCAATATCAACATAGGACCAGGCATTACTGCGTAACGGTTCAAGTTGCCACACCTCATATCAGTACATCAAGTATAAAGGTAGTGAGGTGAAGCGTGAATGTAAGAGAATGAAGTCAAAAGAAATATAAAGCATGAGAAGAAAGGCAAGAAGAATGACAAAATGGCGAGAATCGGTATAGCATCATTAAGATGAGGATAATGTATGTATACAACAGCACCACTGACATCAGTACATGAAGGAAGATTAGGTCATGATGGGAGAGGTGGATAGCAGTTTGAAAGAAACTTCAATGCTGACAGAGTTGTGAGGGCGGCTGACACTTCCCGACTGCCCACACCGTGGAAGGCTATTTCTTCTTAAGGTACCTGAAAGAGATTTGTGTGACCGCAGAGCCCATCCGACATCTGATTGAGGCCTGTCACACTCAGCCTTTTGAGTATGATTATTTTGAACTTTTGTATTTTTAGGGCTGGATGGTTGAAAGGGAACGACAAATAAACCAACACCGCTGGCTCGGCGGACCGTGAGGCATGGTGGAGTGTGTTATTTTCGGGGCCGACCTATTCTAACCCACCCCCCTCCCTCCAACTGAGAAGGCAGCATCAGCATGGCACTGCTGGTCAGCTCGTCCAAGGGAAACACCTTACTGCTGTCACACCCCATCCAGCTAGCAGCAGTACCACTTCGCCCTCAGACCCCCATCATAGTGTAGTAATTTACACCACAACGGTAACTGCTTTTCGTCTAATCACTATCCAACAGACCTTTCTGGTATGGTAGGACCTCTAGGGAAGAAGCGTTCCACCAGCATAGCTCGTTGGATCATTGTGATATGCAAGGCCGACCACCACGTCAAGGTAACAGCTATCGGTACGAACAGACTTACTGAATTACCTTCTTTCATCAATAACCCAACATTAGATAACAGTTTTTTTTTAACATAATCGGACTGAAGATGTATACATTAAAATCATATACATGAAATGATGAGACCAAAGTTTCTCCTGTAGTTTCAATTATTTACAGTTCTAATGAAAAAGGTCTGATCAAACTTCAAGAACTTACTTGTAGATCAAACCATACTGTTCTTTTGACTTTGTTCGGCCAAGTTTTTCACTTAATAAAGACTTATATATCCCATTAGTATATCTAAAGATTACAGTTTAAGTGAATATCAAGAATTTATAAACTAACTTATTTAATTCTTCGACTAGTTGTTTGAATGAAGTATTTTTAGAATCACGAATTTCTTGTATTACAACTAAATCATATCGAGATAATATCTTTATTTATAATGTTTTATTTTCAATAATATAAGTTAATATGTCAACAAACCTTGACTAGTATTAACAGGACATCCTTTTTAGAAACTTTATTTTGTCCAAACACTTGAATGTTGAATGATCCAATTTTAATGGATTCCGTATTGAAAATTGAACAAAAAATGAAAAATAGTAGGATTCTACACATTTGAATAAGTTGTATGATACCTTAGGCTATAAATCATTTCTAGTAGAATGTCTAATTTTGTTTATTATACATAAAGTGTTATGCATCGCTGAGAATTTTATTGGTCGACCTAGTATGTCTGTGTTATAATGTGCACTACTGCTTCTACATTCATACACTTATACACATCTGATTAAAGTTACTTTCATTCTCAATAAATGTAAAGATGGCAACCTAGAGAAATAAAGTTGTAGACACCAAAATACCGATTCATTTCTCTGAATATTTGTTTCGAAATATATGGTCTTCTTATAGGGTTAATCTATGTAAGACAATGGATAACAGTCCTGTATATGAACATCGAAAATAAACCATAACAACATTACTATTTTTTGACATACTTGTTATTCTCTGTTGTTTTGTTGGATCAAATTGTTCGATCTCTATTGGCATATGGGCTCCTATGCGGATACCTCGACATTGCCTGAATGTTAATTACCATGAATTGGTTAGTTATGGTGGTTGCGTCCTGGATTCTTCTGATAACCACAACCAACCAATTTATCATAACGACACTGTTCAATCAAGGAGGCGATACGACTGTTACTTGTATAATAATAAATACTGGAATTATGTCCATTGAAGTGAACACTAGACCAGGTGGCCAATTTCAATAGTTCACTCTTGAATAAAATATTTCCTACTCACTAGAATGAGGTTGAAAACTATCTTCAAAGAAAGAGGCAATTCAGCGGGGAAGTTTTCTTTCTCCATGATGTCAATTTCTAAAGCTCTAAAATTGTATTTATATATACTAGAAACATGTAATAATCTGTTATTGAACAAAAGGGCATCCTTGAATCATTAGGCTAGTGTTAAAACCAAAATGAAGCGTGGAAAGTTGTTTCGTAGTAATCTGTTCGACATTTATAATATTGAGAAAGGCAAGAAATCTGATAATTTTCACCTTGTGGCTTAGCGTTCGTATGATCAGAGCGAGTTCTTATTTTGACTACAGTTTTAGTTGGCAAAAAATTTAGTGTCATGCTGGACATCGTCGTCAATGCATCTTACGACTCCACTTCCTTGTGAACTCGTGATGGACTGATGATGACATCCAGCATGATACTGAAACGTTTGCCAACCAAAACTCTAGCTCAGAGAACAGCTCAATTTGAACAACTCTCACCTTGTCAAAGGGTCAGTGAGTAAATTTCCAAATATAGAACTGCTGATCACCAGATTACGCATGTACATTTATATTTTATTATTTATTTATCCCTTGAGTTCCTAATGGAACATAGGGCTTCAGTAGCACGTCTCCAATACGTTCTGTTCTCTGAAATCTTTTGAACCTGGCTCCACGACAGCTCACAAGCTCTCATTCACTTCAATATGATACCTTCTCATCTTGTGCTGGGTTCAAACATGGTGTGGACATTCCATGTCCCCACGTTTACTTTCGTTTTCATCGAAGGAGAGAAGACACACTGTCCAATTGGCTTGCCGAAGGCTTTCACCAACCGGTGACATTTCGCCTCTCCGATTCCAGCAAGGAATAATTTTGTTTTTATTTTTTATATTTTGTTTGTGCTTTGAAGTTTCTTTAGCGGTTGGATTGGCTTTATGGGGTAGGGTTGCTAGCCCTATGCCTAACCTTCCCTCTTTACCCGGGCTCAGGATCGGCTAGTAAATAGTGAACTAGTTAACCAGGCGAGATTACGTATGTATATATATTCAATATTTAGTTGAAAAACAAACCGTGTAACTAAGTAAATATAACTATGAACTACGTATTATACAGTGAATACTTAGTCAAAGATAACGGAAAGGTCAGTAAACAACTAATACATTTTCAGGAATGGATAAAGACTGTTATTCCACCTCCTACAATAAAACTGTTATTTTTTATTAGATCTTGAATTCTCTACAAAACTATGCCTATATTCTTTTATATGGTTGTGGTGTGTGCCATCATTTAAAGAAAACTTTCTAATGATTTACACAATGTGTTGTACATGCTAAGCCACCGTCTAACTAGACGTGAAACAAGGTTAAGGGTGGTCCGATCATGACATGGTCACAGCCTATGAAGTTTTTGATTGTTAGTGTGAAACGCATAGGCAGGTGCAGACTACCTGGTTGGCGTCTTCCAGGCTATAAAAAGTAATAACTGGAAACACTTAGTGTCATAGCTTAAAGATGATTACAATGACGTATATACACCCTTTATCATTTTCAAAGCCTACAATATTTTCAATCTGCTTAATTTTTTTCTACTCCCACCTCTCATATTGTTATATCTTCGAACGCCAACGGTTGTATATATACATATTCCGAACGAATATAATACGTACACTTAGCTGACAGCTAACTTAGTATGCAAGAGCCAGTGACATCGACCCCGGGACGAATCGAGAGAAGACCGAAGCTGGATGATAGGAAAGTTTATTGCTCCCAAAATATAATAATAATCAATCCCAAAACACGTAAATATGTACACACATGAAAAATGACTTTGTCCGCAATTTGAGACATTGACATAGTAAGAGTGACGATTAACCAATCAGCGATTTACATTACAATGTGTGCAGAAAATAGACTACTAGTCACACCGTAGAAAATGGTATGGGAATGACACGTCCATATGTTCAGATTAATGACAATGTTTTATACAAAACTTGGAGCCTTACAACACATACTTTTGTTTGCTTTGATATCGATCCTTGTCTATCCCGGAGGATAGCTGCTACCTTGACGTGGTGGTCGGCCTTGCATATCACAATGATCCAACGAGCTATGCTGGTGGAACGCTTCTTCCCTAGAGATCCTACCATACCAGAAAGGTCTGTTGGATAGTGATTAGACGAAAAGCAGTTACCGTTGTGGTGTAAATTACTACACTATGATGGGGGTCTGAGGGCGAAGTCGTACTGCTGCTAGCTGGATGGGGTGTGACAGCAGTAAGGTGTTTCCCTTGGATGACCAGCAGTGCCATGCTGATGCTGCCTTCTCAGTGGAAGGGGGGGGTAGAAAAGGTCGGCCCCAAAAATAACACACTCCACCACGTCTCACGGTCTTCCGGGCTGTCGTTTCCTTTCGACCATCCGGCCCCAAAAATACAAAAGTTCAAAATAATCATACTCAAAAGGCTGGGTGTGACAGGCCTCAAGCAGATGTCCGATGGGCTCTGCGGTCACACAAATCTCTTTCAGGTACCTTAAGAAGAAATAGCCTTCCACGGTGTGGGCAGCCGGGAAGTGTCAACCGCCCTCACAACTCTGTCAGCACCCAAGTTTCTTCTGACTGCTATCCTCCTCCTCCATCATTACCTTCTAATCTTCCTTCACGTCTCTTAATTAATGATGCTGCATCATCTTCAATTTCTCCTACCTCTGCAGCCTTCGACAACGATCTGAGTCCACAGAACAGCATCCCTGGTCTCCTTAAACCACGCTCCAAATTACATATTGGAGCCTTCAATGTCCGCACCCTCCGTCAAATTGGCCAACAGGCTTCGTTGGCAAAGACTCTAGCAACTCGGGCATGGATGTGTGCTGTGTTTGTGAGACACGCATACAGGACCCAAGTGTGGTTATTCACCTGACCTCTCCTGACCAATCTGGTGAATCTGCAAAATTCACCCTTCGAGTTTCTGGAGATTCGATAGCTAGCTCTCGTGGTCTTGCAGGTGTAGGTATAGCATTAAGCACCAGGGCAGAAAACTCACTACTAGACTGGATCCCAGTTGATAGTCGCCTCTGCGCTATGAGGCTGAACGGCACAGTGAGAACTAAAAGGAATAGTGAGACTCGCCGTTGTCTCTTTGTAATCTCTGCTTACGCACCCACTGACTGTAGTTCGGATGAAGTGAAGGACGAGTTCTACCATAAACTGTCTAACCTCCTCTCGAAAGCCAAACGTTCGGACGTAGTGGTTGTTGCAGGTGACCTCAACGCACAGGTGGGTAGACTGAGTGAGGCAGAAAGGCACTTAGGTGGCACTTTCGGAATCCCAGCTGAACGTACAGATAACGGTGATCGCCTATTACAACTATGCTCAGATAACCGCCTATTTTTAGCCAGCACAAATTTCAGACATAAAGAAAGGCACTGTCTGACCTGGCGTCCACCGAGCTCGACTCAGCGATGGACACAGATAGACCACATTGCTATTAGTCATCGCTGGAGAGGATCGGTGGAAGACTGCCGCTCCTTCTGGAGTACGTGTTTGGACAGCGATCATGCGTTGGTCCGAGCACGTATATGCCTGCGTCTCAATGGACGTAGAAAAAATTTGGCAACAAAACCACTACGAGTTCTGCTGGACAACGAAAACACCAAAGCCGTGTTCAGTGAGAAGTTGGCTAGGCAGTTATCGGAACAAAAGACTGTCACTCATCCAGAAGAAGCTTGGTGCCATCTTCAGTCTACTGTAAAAGCAGCACTGGAGACTGTAGCCGACTCCAAGATAATGGCTAAAAAGAGCCAGTGGATATCAGCAGCTTCTTCCAAACTAATGGATGCACGTGAATGCATCCCTGCAGGCTCTGAGTACAATGAAGAGCGAGCGCAACTTAAAAATAACTGACGAAAAGTCTGCGCAACGATCGTGAACAGTGGTGGGCAGCAAAGGCTAAAGAGATGGAAAAGGCAGCGGCGATCGGTAACAGTAGACAGTTATTTAGACTTATTAAGGAGACTGGGGGGAAATGGTCAACAACAGTTAGTGAGGTTATAGCGGAGAAGGACGGATCTGCGATTCACTCGCAGGGAAGGCGACTGGAACGATGGGCAGAACACTTCGAGGAACAGTTTAACTGGCCTCCAGCCACCATTGCGCTGCCCGCTATCCAGTCGGACCCTGAATGGGACATAGAGACAGGTCCCCCAACACTAGAAGAAGTTGAGAAAGCGGTAGGTAGCCTGAAACGGGAAGGGCAGCAGGACCAGACGGACTACCTGCTGAGGTATACAAGAATGGTGGTAGAGTTCTCTTAGTCAGGCTAACGGAAGTGTTAGCCAGTATATGGGAATCAAATACGATCCCCTCC